AGGGGCAAAGTGTGCTGAGTGCCAAGCAGAAGACGCCGTAGTAAACAAGGTGCTTTACAGTCAGGACACTCTCTCTCTCATCTTCAAGTGCGTAATTGTGTTCTGGATAAATTATGGAAATTAAAAAAAAAAAAATCAGAGGTTGCTCGTAGGGAAATAACCCTCTTTAAAAACAAGTAAATTCTCCAAGGCAGAGCCACTAGAACCCTGGCAGCAGAGCCTGAGTTTGGCTGGGTGAAAAGTACAAACTGTATGGGCCAGAGGAAGCTGACGGAACTGGGTTCAAACACCGGCCCCGGCACTTAGCTGAATTACATGAGGCAACTTGTTTGAACTTCTCTGGGTCTCCGGTTCTTCACCTTTAAAGTGGGGGTATTGAAAACTCCAGGAGTTTGAGAGGGAAACATGTGCAAAGCAGCCAGCGCAGTGCCCGGCCCTGGAGAAACGTTTGCTCCCTTCCCTGCTTCTCATTCTTTTTTTTTTTTTTTTTTTTTTAAGATTTTTTTGTTTATTTATTTGACAGACAGAGATCACAAGTAGGCAGAGAGGCAGGCAGAGAGAGAGGGGGAAGCAGGCTCCCCACTGAGCAGAAAGCCCGATGTGGGGCTCGATCCCAGGACCCTGAGATCGTTACCGGAGCCAAAGGCAGAGGCTCTAACCCACTGAGCCACCCAGGCACTCCCCTGCTTCTCATTCTAGCGTCAGGCTCTAAGATCTGCCCCATCACCCTCTTCAGGCGGCCATATCGTGGATGAGGGAGATGCCCGTTGGTGCTAGTGTTGTGTGTAATAACCTTAGAAATAGTTTGTAACCAAATGAGGTTTCAGGAAAGAATCCATGAGTTAAGCCTGTTGAAGACTGAATGAATAGGGAACAGACGAGCCCGTGGCACCCCCACCCCCACTCCAGCCCTAACCCATTCGGCTGAAATGGTCTTTACTGATCATAGAATTTTTTTTTTCTTTTCTTAGACAATATGCTTTCTCTGTCTTGTGATAAATGTCCTAGCAGCTTCTAGTTTACTGCGGGAGACTTGCTGGCCTCACCAGCACCAGAGTTTTTTAGAAATTGGGGGGCAAATTGGAAAGTTGTAGGGAATACAATTGCTGATATAAATAAAAATCCAGTTTGATTCTGTCTCTTAAACCTCACCCATATACACCAATTAGCAGTCAAAAATGTCTATACTTGTCAGACATTGTTCCGCCCTTAAAATAAATTACCTTGCTGTTAACAGCCTTATTTAATGGCTACAGTATGTTGTACCTACTTGATTTCTCTTGCCCAGAACATGTGCTGTTTCTGCCTTGACAGTATATCTGCTAATTGAGTTTTAGAAAATCAGGAAGGTTTTTCTTAAACGGATTATTTAAGAAAGGCCCCTACGTGGCCTGTTTGTACCCTTCTGCTACACATCAAGTTGTGTTCTGTAACAACCTAATTGTCATGATATCTATTTCAAGGGGAAATTTATCAAGTCACAGTGCACCCTTCTGTTTGGAAGAAATATTTGAGGATGTGAGCAGAAATTATTTTTACAGAAAGGCTTCAGGCAGTTAAGAGTACTGACATACAAATCGTATTTTCATCACTGTCATTCACATCCGGCGCCTCAAATAAATAGGTCATTATTATTCCATCGCAACCGTCCTATGGCGCCTCGAAGTATGGAGCTCTGTTTAATGTAACTGCTGTCCAGCTGACCCGTGTAATTTATTGGTGATTTTTACAGTGACATTCTCGGGCCACCACCATCAGCCAAGTCACTCTGATCTCTTTCAGCAAAATACTTCATTATCGCTTGTGATTTTTTTAGCATTAGTATTATAACCATGTTAACGTAGCAAGGAGCTGTCATTTTCTGAGATATCGGATTTGAGGTTGGCTTTAGCAATTTCAACAAATAATACGGTAACAAAGATGATACCATCACGGATTTGCAGAGCCCATCGTGCGGCAGAGCACACGAGGGCAAAAGTGTGCAGATGGCAAAAATTTTACCTGAAGGACTTCATAATAACACACCAAAGTGATCCGGTCTTATGTTACCTAATTATAAATAGTAATTAAGAATGTGTACACTTTTTAACAAGCAACACCCCTGTTTTATTACCTTAATTGCGTAAAACATAGGATCATAGTCACCTCCTCTTTGTCTCCCGTCTCCTCTGCTAATGTCTGAGAGCCTTAATGGGGGTCTGGATGGTACTCAGAGAGAATACACCAGCATTCCGAGGAAGGACTGGCACTAAAAGGTATAGTTCTACAGAAAGCATCTTATTAGGGTCCAGTGGAATTGTAACTGGCTTTAAGTTCCAGTACCCCCCAAGATGGTGGTTAGGACCTATAAGGCGTGGTTGATGTTGAAGGGACTGAGGCCTATCCCCGGGCAGTCTTTCTGTGGGTTCCTTTTATTTTTTTTTTTTAAGATTTTATTTATTTATTTGACAGACAGAGATCACAGGAAGACAGAAGAGGCAGAGAGAGAGGAAGGGATGCAGGCTCCCTGCTGAGCAGAGAGCCCAATGCGGGGCTTGATCCCAGGACCCTGGGATCATGACCTGAGCCGAAGGCAGAGGCTTTAACCCACTGAGCTACCCAGGCACCCCTCTATGGGTTCCTTTTAGAAGTGGGAGATTCTTATTTATGTTGGTAACAGACTTCTTTAGATAGGAGAACTCTCTGCCCACAACCCAGTAGACCCCATTTGGTATTCTAGTCGCCTTACAGCAAGTCCCGTGACTTCAGACCGATGCAACGCTGGAATCGTGTGGTTTAATTTTTCTTTAATTTTCTTACCAGATTGGGTTACCCTGAGGAAATAAGGGTATCATCCTTTCTGTACATACTTTTGCCAGGGCCAGGAAAAAACACCTTGAAAAGCTTGCTTGATTGGCAGGAATTCCCCTTTCCTTGTTCTTTTCTCCAATCTGGGGATACACTGCTCCCTCCAGCCGACTTCTGAATTCTGGGTTTGTCACAGAAATCTGCGGAGGGAAAAAGAAGCATTCCTTCGTGGGTTTTGTTTTTGTTTTTGTTTCTTGGGAGTGTTTTTTTGTTTGATTTTTTTTTTTTTTTGATCACTTTTTCTCTTTGTTGTTATTCCACAACATTGTTCACCCCACTAAGCCTTTGCTGCGGGATCAAACTAGGGAAAATTTCCCCTTTCACTCACTACAAGGCCGGTGGGCCCGCGTGCTCACACCAAGGTTAATTCCCTGCATCATCAGAGATCTCAAGGTTGGGGTTTCACGTTGGTTGGCTCCTCAAGCACCAAGAATTTCTGTTTGTCTGTGGCTCTAATAATTTTGTCCTTATCCCCTAGTTCCCTCCCTTCTAATCCTCTATCAGAGGCTGGTCTGTTTCTAGGTAGATTTGGCTTGAAGCCATCTCAGACACTCTTGTCACACTTCCTCACTGTGTCCTGCCAAAAAAGGATCCTTCAGCAGAAATTACGATAGCAGGTGGAAATCCTCCATTTCGTCTAATTACATCTCTATGCGCACGCTCTCTCACAATAGTATTTATCTTTGACCTTTGTTTCTAACTGTGACAAAGTTGGGGTTTGGGCTTTTCTTTTGTTTTTGTTTGTTTGTTTGTTTTGGTGGGGGGAATGAATGAACCACCCTGATCTATAGTCACCTGGAAAGCTTGGGAAGAGGGACCAGGAGACTCCATTCTTAGATCCACACCACTCACCACGTGGAGTTGCCTAGTAAATGTTGGGATTTGACAACTAGAAAGAGGATGGTGAGGATGATGGCAGCGACCATTTATTCAGTCTTAGAGGAAGCTAGACTCAGTGCTAAATGATCTATATTTATTGCCTTCCTCAGTCCTTCTGACAGCTCTCTGAGAGGGCTTTGAATTACTGTCCCCATTTTGCAGATGAGAAACTGGTTCAGGGACTTTAAATGCTTTACTTGAAATCATACAGCCAAAAAGCAATCATCTTCTTCCCCTTCCTGATCGACCATCATACCCATTGCCCATGCTACACTTTTGACTCCGTACGTGCAGATTCGATACCCATTTCCACCCACCTGGCGGTTTCTGGAAGATCAGGACAGTGCCCTGTATTTCTCTATGCTCTGCTGTGCTGGTGCAGAACAGGACATTCAACAATTACTTCATCTTTTGCTCGTCAGTTTAATTCTCTTCTTCCCCTACCTGTGCTGTGGATCAAATGGGACATTTACGAGGGGCCGTGGCTCCTGTCACTAATCTCAGAAGCAACAAATGAGAGCAGATGTGGAGATGAGCCTTCTATCAGTGAATCCGAAAGCCTTGACTTGGTGAGGAGTTCTGAAAGAGAAAGTCTAAATGGCTAGATGGGGGTCCATCGGCAGAAGGGGCAAGGCTCAGGACCGCCTGGGGCTCTGGGTGAGTCGTGAAGCCATGAGTTTCTGAGAGCAGAGTAACAGACTGAACTAGGAGCCTTCCCAGGATTTTACTGGGCTTCCAGACAGTCCTAGTTGGGTAGGTCCTCCCTCTCCCACACAGTAAACAGCTGAACTGCCTATACCTTGAGAATGATGACATCCGCTAACAAGATGAGATTATTTACTGAGCCGCCTCTCTGCTCCTATTAAGTGGCCCCTAGAGTTTCCTGTGAGGCAACCAAATAGCTTAGCTCAAGGGCATGTGAGCTGAGGGTGAGTATGTGCTTCTCCCCTACTCTATCCCTGAGAGTGGCAGCTTCTTAGAAAAGTCAACTCTCTGACCCTTCCGTACCTTTCCAATGCACTCCTCAACGGGTACAAGATAGCGGAGGCCGGGACATTGGCATCATGACTTCTGAGAGCATGTTGATCCCAGCCTTAGTTACATTTTGCCCCCGGGTGAACGGACTCCCTTCAAGGACGGTGGAGGAAGATGGGAGTCACACCAGCGTCGCCCTTGGTGCCCATTTTGGAAGACATTTCTTGTCTCTCGTTCTTACTGAGCCATGAACCAAATTTTAATTGATGGAAATTCTTTTCTCCCTCTTTTTTTTTAAGGCGATGGACAGAATTTGTTCACGAAAGACGTGACAGTGATCGAGGGAGAAGTGGCAACCATCAGCTGCAAAGTCAATAAGAGCGACGACTCTGTGATTCAGCTTCTGAATCCCAACAGGCAGACCATTTATTTCAGAGACTTCAGGCGTAAGTTTCCATCTCCGTAGCGTTAGGTGGCAACTTTTTCTTCCTACATGTTGTCTTGATAAAGAGATTGCCAAGGCCTCCTTTTCTAAATTTAATGTTAGATGCTTAAAGTTTAGTCAATTCTTCAGAGGGAAGAAGAGACATGCAATCATAATCTTTCTACTTAATAGAAACCTTGAATGGTCCCTTTTAAAAGTAAAGCAGTCTTACTTTGCAATAGGAATTGATTGTAGTAATTCAAGGTGAATTGCAATTGAGTCCCAAATACTTCGCTGACACAAACAACTCAAATAGGGTAAGGCAAGGAAAATATAGCATTCTGAAGGATGGTCTGTTCGGTTTGAAGATGAAGTTTCCAAGGCAATGTGTGCCTATAAAGAGAAAACCAAAATGTCCTATCACCGTAACCTCTGGTAGACAGAGGTTACCATGGGCTGAAATCTTACCAAATGTCATATCCCTGTAGGTAATTGTCAGAACTTAATTGTATATCCCAGAAATGGTTCAAATGCATGTCAGAGTCTTTCAAAAAAATGGCTCTTTGGGAGCATGGGTGGCTAATCAAAGCAGATGTCGAGGAATGACCCTTCACATCTGCTTGTCCCCGTTCTCCCCAACGCCCCAGAACATTCATGAACTAGGGAAAGAGTTGGTAAAACTAAGGAACATTGCAGAGGATGAAGGAAGGTCAAAGAAGAGGGGCCGGTCATTCTTAGAGTGAATTTTGGTCATTATGAATGAAAGCTAGCCTTTGCCAAAAATGACATTAAGGACTTTAAAAGTGAATATTTGAAATTAATAAAAAGCCCACATACCTGACTTTTGCGGTGACTCTGCTTTCCTACGTTTCCTGTTGTGAAGTTGAATGTAATTAGAAAACTGCAGGCCGGGCGGGTCTGAGGCTTTGGGAGGCCTGAGGTCATGGACTCTGGGCAGCTCCACCTCCAACCAAACCAAATACAAAGATGCATCCAAGTTAAATTAGATTGTTTCGCTGTGAAGTTTTGTTTTTTTTTTTTAATGACTTCCGTTTTGTTTTTGAAATTACTAATAATGATTTTTTTATCTTTATAATTTGGAACCAGTTTTTCTTTTTTTGCAAGGCCTCAGATTTTTAGAGACAACTCAAAAGCCTGAACTTTTCAGGGCCTGCAGCCTGCACGTTCCTTCTGTTTTCATTTTACCGAACTCTGATAGAAAATCTGAAACAATTTACGAATCAGGGCTGGTAACGGACAGCAAGGGGTGTGCGTGCGCGCGCGCATGCATGGATGCGCATGCGTGCGCGAGTGCGCGCGCATGCGTGTGAGTGCGCACAGGCGTGCGGCTACACCACAGGCCCCAGTGTGTGTCAGTTTCCTTTGGCAGAAGGTTATTTGTCTACGTGCGGTTGTTGCAGAAGCCCAAAATAGTAATTCAGGAAGTATGAAGAAGTACCCAACAGGTGCACAAAGACTCGCTCCATTTTTCTTCTCCGTCGCGACCTTTTGAATCCCGTAACTCTCTCCCCGCCTAGGTAGGGAAAATGGACTGTCTGTTGTCTTCCTCCTAATCACTACCCCTGTGTTTTGTTTCATAGCTTTGAAGGACAGCAGGTTTCAGTTGCTGAATTTTTCTAGCAGTGAACTCAGAGTGTCGCTGACAAACGTCTCAATTTCGGATGAAGGAAGATACTTTTGCCAGCTCTACACTGACCCCCCACAGGAAAGTTACACCACAATCACAGTGCTGGGTAAGGAACGCGTGGGGGTGTGTCCTGGGAAACGGAGTGGGGGAGCCCTTACTACTGGTCGGCTTCCAGCCCCAAAGAAGAGGCTAATGGTGAATTTTGCTATTCCAACCTGTTGTAGGAAGGATCGCTGCCCATGTTGCTGAATTTTAAAAATAGCCTATTTTACGAAACACTTTAAGGAATGGCAATCAGCAGCCTTTATAGATCCCACCTGCTCTTGGGTTCAGCCCTCAAGCTTCAGAAGCAAAGACCCAGAGAATTTAGAGCCCTGAGATGAATCATTCACCACATGAAACGTCATTGCTTCTGAACGACCAGGATTTTTTTGTTGTTGTTGTTCCTTCTGTGCAGGAGAAAAGGAGGTGGGCTACCACATCTGTACTGTACCCTGTGACAGAGCTCACTTATAAAGTCCCCTTAATGAATTTTCCTTCTGCGTTACAACATTTAATATCGTTGATCTCATCTCTGGCTTTACTCACCGCCTTGTGTATTGCTTCTACTCTAGATGACACTGTAAAAATCATACCCCATGAACACACACTTTGCCACAAATTACACCATTGGACATAAAAGAATTGAGAGCTTCTAGGGAGAGGAGGCTGATAATAAGCCAGGCCTGTCAACAGGCTGCTGAGGACACTTCGAGGGAGTTGAATGTCTTCAGTGACGATCACCCCGTTGTGATTTTCAGGAAAATTCCAGTAGCTAAGTTTCCATATTTAGATTTTGATGGAGTCAGCAGATATCTCTGTGTTGAAGGTGGTCTGAATTAGTCACCTCTTAGACAAATGTGTACACCAGTACATAACAGCAGCTGATGTGGGTTTTTGAAACCAAGTTTTCAAGGACGTACACTAAGGCATGAGGCAAGATCTCTGATTTACACCTTCAGAAAGACGATGCATCAAAGTCTATTTGCGGCAGCAGAGTGCAGCTTTTTGGTGTAATGATATGAAGATTAAGGAGGAAAGATAAATATGAAGGACGTTTCTGCTTGGTGTGTGTGAACATACATGTATTTATGGATGTCCATATGGGGCTGCTGCCTCATTACTCTGTTTAAACACAGCTGTAAAAGGGGAAATAATTCTTCATTCATTAAACTAAAACATGTCCCTAGTGCTTACATACATGTTCTTGATAAGAGGAATACTGATTTTGGGAAGTCCTGTTGCAATTTCTAACAGAGTCTGTGTTGAACGATAGATGACTTTCAGATGTACGTGTCTGCTTTAATTTTAGCATAATCCCTCTTAAACCTGAAGAAATAATAAGCGTGAAAGGTTTTGCTGGGATGACTTCTTTTGGTGTTTTGCAGGTGTGCCTTGAGGTTTTCTGTCCATGTAGTTGTTCAGAAGTATTTGAAAACAGTGTGCAGCGTGTGACTCCAATAGCCAACCATTCGCCCTCAGACCCATCATTGATTATGGCCTTTGCACGAGAGTTACAGCGGTGGAATGGGATAGTATAGTTTTTAGGGTGTTTTCTACATCTAAAGATAGTCTACCTGACTATCTTTCACGGGAAGAAATGATAAGAAGAGAGATGAGCCATCCCTCCTGGGTTACAAAGCACATAGCACAAATCTAGAACCACAGGCTTTGAAACAGACCCTGCAGTTCTGCCTCACAACCTTTGTGTCTTTGAGCCTGGGTTGTTTTCAGTAAAATCCCAGATGCTGCCATTTTCGAGACTTTTCCCTGAAGGTGCACATGTTTTGTCCTCAGGAGTACGTCTGGCCATGGGCAAGCAGTGACTGCTTGTCAGTTTCCAGAATCGGGTACATTTGTTCGCGGACCCATTGGATTGGGCCAGTTTGGATGAATATACCCAGTGCTTGGGAGTCAGCCTGACAGCGCTAGACTTTCGAGAGGCATTTATGCCTGTAATCCTACTGGAGGCCTGATTATTCTAGAAGTAATAGGTTCCTGCTTGTATTGTATAGAAGCATTAACTTAAACATACTTGAGAGTAATACCGGCAGATGCTTTTTCTGCAGATATTATGTATTCATTTAATATTCTTTCCATTGAATTGACTCTAGGAATCTTTGACGGAGTGAAATTGTTGTCACCAGTGTTTGAGTCTTTCATATTCCAAAATCTGACAATTTCCACTGATACTCCTATATTCAAACCTTCCTAAGGTTTAGAATTTTCAGATATTCTAATGAATGAAGAGTGATCTATTAGCATCTTTGTTTCTATCTATGGTTCTCTGAAAAAGGACTCTGTATATACTTACACAGCTGTCACACTTCTTGATAGGTTGGAGATGCTCACTTTAGTGCGTGTGTCTATTAGTTGTTTGAAGAATTCAGCAAAAATTTCAGCATAATTGTAAGACATGGAGATGGTTATTTGTTAGTTGTTGTTACGTGTATTATCTGATCCATGTAAAAACTGAAAACTCGCCAATGGTATTTTGCACACATTTGGGTGCCTTTTAGGATACTACATTCACTCCTTCCACTTGTGTGACTTTGTTCTTTTCTCTAGATCATAGTGTAGAACTCCCTTTATACCAGTATTCGTGGAAACAGTGTAATGAGAAAGAGAATACACCCCTTTAAGATAAATATAGTTACTGATAATAGCAGCAATATTATTACAGTCCTGTCCTTCTAAGATTAGTGTTCACTCTTAAGATTCCAGGAACAGGAGAACCTAATTATTTCAAAGGGTTTTGGAGTGAGATTTCACATACTGATCAGCTTTAAGACTCCTCTTTTGTTGTAATTAACGTGTGACTCATCTTGATATTGCTGATTTTTTTTAATGTTGTAGGCGTAATGTTTATAATGAGCACTCTTATAGATTTGAGGTTAGCTAAGAAGAACCTTGACATTTCTTTGCTATTTTCTAGTATTTCCCCCTGTGATTTTCATTCAGGTTTTCATCTGTATGCACCTCCTTACATACATCTTTGGTTATTTTCCTTAACGGCCGCAGGCAGTTTTTACTAAATGTGTCTGTTTAGTAGAGCACATTTAAGTGTATTCTCTGGTTAGTAGCGGTTTTAATTCATTTTTCCCACAAATGGATTTTTATACTTTACTAATCACTTTTATAATACAGTAGGCATTGTGGAGTTGAAGGGAGAATGGGGTACAATTAAAAGACCAAAATAAACTTGTAGTTTTTCTTGTCTGGTCCCCCTTTTTTTTTTTTTTAAGAAAGACTTAAATCACCTCGTTTATATTTTCCAAAGCTTTTTTGTGCTTAAAAAAAAAAAAAATCAGAGAAGTCACCTTTATAGCTAATATCAACAAACCACTGTGACTCCCATGATTCAATTTGATTTTAGGTTTGCAAACCACACAGTTCCCACTACCCTTAACTGTTTTCTTCTTCTCATCTTAGTGAAGTCAGAAAACCTGGCCACAATCTTGAAAACACTGTGGACTTGGAATAAAGTCACTCAACTCTTTCTCAGGATGCTCTTCTCAATGACAACTTCTATATTTTTCTGCACTGGTCCCGTTTTCCAAGACGTGGCAAGTTGTCCCCATGTTCCCTTTAGCAAAGTGAAGTTAGATGATGTCAGTCAGCTCTTTGGGAAGATGACCCAAGGACCTAGTATGGGTAGAGGTGTCCCCCGAAGGGTCAGGGGACTTGATGGCGTGTCTATTGTAGGAGAGGAAGAAGCAGCATGAGCAATGCCAACCAATAGGTAATCCAAAACAAAGAGGGTCTCTTTGCTGCTGGTCAGGCTCTGAGCCTCCAAACAACATCTAAGAGGCACTGGTAGACGTTCCTCTGGCCTCAATTGTATGTGCACTTTTCCATCTCCTTCCTTTGAACTGGCAGTCGTGATTGCTAATGCAGAAAGAACGTGCTGTCCCCTCTACAGCCGCCTCCATCTTACAGATAGAAAGACCACCGAAGAGGAGCAGCTAGTGCTGGTTAGGGGAAGCCTGTGATGAGGAGGGCTAAGCTGTCTTCAGGCCCAGCTCAGGAAAGGAGAGAATGAAGGAAAGAGCCCCAGGAACACACAGGAAACAAATGCCTGGCAAAGCCCGTGTTGGGAGGCTGGGTGCCATTGAGACTTGACGGTGGAGCGTGCAGGAATCTTTAATGACTCCAGCATCTCTTCCTGCCGAGATTCCCAGGTTACCACAGAGCTACCGGCAAGGTTTTTCTCCAAAGTTACACAAGCAGACTGGAATCCGCCAGACTCCATTGCCCTCTTTGTCCTATCCAAAGAGGCTCACTTTCTCTGAGTCTTCCCTACTCAGTTTGAATTTCCTTAAATTGCATATTACTTCTCAATTACTATACTCAATCCCATTTCTCATTGGGCGTCATGGCATATGCCAACATCAAGAATGATTTCCATCACTCTCCTTTTACTTCTGTCTGAACCTTGATAGAAATACTGTTGTCTGACTTTGATTCCTCCATGTGGGGGGCTGTGGGGAGGTGGCATTCCTATGTCTTTTACTCTTTGGTGATTTCATCCTCTTGCCTCTTACTTTCTTCCTCCTAGCTCACCGGGATCTTATTTTCTTCAGGCTTGGGCAATCTTTTCCTCTGACATTCGCTCTAACAATAGCATTTTGTTTCTATATTCCTACGATACCGCACTCAGAATTTGGTAGTATCTGTTGGTCCAAAACATCCAGTCTCTGTGTGGATTCCCTATCAACTCTCTAGGCGTGCGTGATGAAAATCTATAACCATCCTGATTGTGATCTGGCAAGAATATCTACGTTCAGGAAATAGCTAGCTAAAGTCGCCCCATTTACTTTTGTCACTGCCTTTCTGTGTCTCTTAAAACACTGGCAGATGTGCAGCTCCAAATTGGATGTTAGACTATCTCTCTTTATGCTTATATATTTTTTTAAAATGTAAGCGAGGATAGTTCTTTGCCATGTTTAACTACTCATTTGGGCCATATCACTTTGGCAACACATCCACTTGAGCAAATGTGTTCTTTTCCTTTTCCATGGGGAACAAAGAAGGGGCCTGCTTTTGCTTTAATAGTCACCCCTCCACACACACACACACACACACACACACACACACACACACACACACACACACCCCA